ATGATGTACTCCAAAATTTCATTTCGAATTGTAAAGTAAAATGTATGTGGGTTTTTTTACTTTTCTTCAGTATCCTTATTATCCTAGATTCTAAATCCTAACTATAGTTCTATAGTAAATATATACAGCTATTTCAAAAGAACGTTCTGCGAAGGTTATAATTGTTGCAGAATTTTGTTTACGAAGATTGAAATATGTATTGAAATTGAAATGTCAGCACAGCTCTGAGAAAATATGCAGGAAAAACGTGCAGACAAAGTTTGGTTAAATTCCATATCGTTGTCGGACCTATCGCCGGCAGATTGGATTCACATCAATCTCCATCACCCATAGTACATTAAGGGCTTGGTATATCTTCTGCAACAAAACTTTTACCAACCTTTTTCAAAATAACTTTATCTGCTTTCTAAGATAACTTTGTAAAGCTCCAAACATTGACTTAAAGGTCAAGATATCGTACAAACTTTTTTGCCTTCTCTTATATTTATTGCTGACCAAAACTTTGCTTGCGAACTACTTCCAACCATGATCTAGAAACGACGTCACTTCAAAACTGACTGTCATGAAGATTGTAAAAAATGACCACGAAAACACAAAAACATGCCTGGCAATGAAATAAAAATATTGGATATTGTGTCACTATTATAAGCAACATTTTTTTTTCCATTTGATGGCATGGAACTCCAAAATTTCAAGAGGAATAGTGATAACTCAGTTTTGCAAATTTTCTCAATTCTGACTGGCTATAAAAAACTCTCAGCTCAGCTGGTTCAAAACGGCTATCCGTTACGTAACAACAGGGAGCGMCACCTTTTCTCGCGACGATGTTATAGCTTTTTGTTCTCTTCCCATGACGACTACCGGCGCATTATATTGTTTTCTATAAAGTCGAGGAAGCTGTTCTCTTATTTCTATAAATGCTGCTTCCCCTCGTGTGGGCAGAGATCGTGCCTCTCGTGGTTTAAACTGGTGGCGCTCGGTGAAGAACGTCTTTCCTCTGTAGAATCTTGGGTAAAAACCTGGCAAACGGGATTGATGTTCACTTGGAGAAGGCAGAGAGGGCATTCTTTGCACAGAGCTTATACGCACTAGTGGTAATCTTTTTTCTTCTTTTTTGGCCATTTTCATCTGGTTTTGAAAGTGCGCCAAATATTTGCATATCGGCAACAGGTCATATCGTTTCCCGTTCCTCACCCCCTTAGTACTAGTGTCTTTGGACCTCTGGCTTTTTTCGTAAGGAGTCTCGAAGGAGTTTGGATTCGTTCCTTTCACAAGAATAGGGCTTGTCCTTTGTGCTGTTTGTACACGATTCTGTATAGAATTCTCCACCCAAGACGTTTTGTGTTTCACCATGTGGGATAGGATATTTGTTCTTGACGTCACACCCGGCGAGTACCCGATAACGTTTTCACCATACAAACGTTCAGATTGCACGTCGTCATCATCAAGGCACGTGCTTATTGGTGTCATGTGACTCGTCATCTGACTATGGTATGCGCCTAGGTGACGTATGACGTCACCTGGGATGTACGCATGCTCAAACCGTGGACTATCTGTAGGCTCCTTGGTTGGGCTGACGCTGTTTGAGTAGAGGTCTTCAGATCGTATCTCGGGGGTTCCAGTTGGTTTCACAAATGAAACGATGACTTTGTTCAGCGGTTTGCTACGGAGAGTAAAGATATGGATATATTCAACCCTGATGTCATCTTTACAAGATAATAACAAGGATTGTAAGAATCTCGATTCATTAGCGGGGCAGAAGAACATACATGCACCTTTAGGGTCTCAGGTTTGATTCCTGGACTCGACATGACAATTGAGTAGGATTTGTTAGGCCTCTCCTTTGATGAAGGGGGTTTTCTCCAGGTTCTCTATTTTTCCTAACTGGAGAACTGTCTACAAGTTAAATTTGCCAATTCGAGCTAGCAGTAGTCTCCCACAGCCGCTTTCAGTGTCGTCACGCAACGCTTTCTCCCCTGGGGAGAAAGCGTTGCGTGACGACACTGAAAGCGGCTGTGGGGGAGACTAAGCTAGCAGTACCGTGATTTGATCAGCCTAGAGGTTGTTTTGGAAATATTAAAAATATTTGAAGTCTTATTGTCAAGCTGTCAACTAGGGGGGAGGGGGGTATTTCAACAGTGGTTAGGGTATGGTAGGGTCTGTAGGTAGCCTAGGTAAGCAGATGTAGTAAGGAAGCTGGTTAGGTAGGTAAGGTATGAGTAAGAAGGTATCTAGTAGATGAAAAGTAGATAGAAAAGTGAATGTGTTGCAACAGATGGATACTATAGTTGGTCAGGGTGGGTAGGTGGTTGATTAGGTGGTTAGCTGGCCTGTTTGGTAACTAGACGTTTATACGAAGCAGCCGATAGGTATTCACAGCGTATGACCACGTTTAATGAGCTATGCACGGGCTTTGCGCTGCCAAACCAGTGATTACTAGAGATATTTTCTCTGCAACTTGTCTTGCAACGGAATGTTGCATGGAACATTGCAGAGCGTAACCTGCAGCGTTTTTTTGGGGGAAAATGTTGGGAACCGTGCAAACACTCGTGGAACTTGTGTCAAGTTGCAGAGAAAGTTGCAGAGAAAGTTGCAGAGAAAGTTGCAGAGAAAGTTGCAGAGAAAATGTATGCGTGTAATCGCACCCCCCTAGTAAAACCAGCCGGCTTCGCATCAAAATGTCGGTATAACGTGAAAAACACAACTTTTGCGCGTTGCGCCGTAAAGAAAGTAAGTATATGGGTAGTTATCAATGTAACTACTCGTATCAAGAAAGATTTTTAGCAAATCTAGGAGTATATTGATTGAACAAGTTATAATAGCGKACAAGACAACCTTGATAAAATATTCATTTTCTAAAACAACCAACTTTCCGTGAATTTCAAATCAGTTACGGTAAAAGTGTTGGCAAAAGTTTGTCGTCAACAAAGAGAATTGAGAGAACGATCGCGACTGCTCAGAAAACAAGCGATTGAGTTTGACAGTTTTACAGTACGCATGAATCAAATACAGGAAAACACAATCAAAACATTAGAACAWTGAACCCGAAGATTAGACAAACATATCGTTATTACAGGTTTAGTCTAGTCAACACTTTTAAAAACTTTAAAACAATGCATAAAAATTGAGTTTTGTTTTTTAGTATTGATTCAGTTAAGAAGCATCACCACTTCCAGTTTAAAAACAACAGTTGTAGAAAAAGTAAAAACCTGCGCATTTGTTTTGAAAACCTGTCTCGTATTCCGTAGAGTTTGGAAGAYTTTTACATGAAACGGTTCATGAAAAGACACATTATTTTGTTTTTAAAAGAAAGCTAGTATCCTTGTTAAGCTTTAAGGTCGTTTAGAAAGTGTTGCTTTCTTCTTAAATGAGTAAAATAAGATTTTTTGGACTCAAAGGCTGCTTGGAAATGGCATTGTGATAAGACTAACCTTTTGTCAACAAACGACTTTGTTGGACGCCAAACTTCCTCGGGTTCGGTCTGAATTCTCGGACACAGGCTACTTTTTAGAGCCATATTGGCTCAGATACTTCCAGCATTCGTAATAAAAATCGAATACTTCTAGAACTCCTTGACAAAGATAACTYAAGATCTATTACATCTGTGGTTGGTGAGCAGACAGGCCTTCTCCATGGTTACTGAGTTCCGGCTGGACTTAATTGGCCTATAGGAATTAAATAAAACTAGTATTATAATTGAAATTGTGACACTTTTTTGAAGTCCGACTGCATCTATAATGAAATAYTGTCTACAGTTGAAAAACTTTGACAAAACCTCTTTCTAAGAATAGCAAAGGTCTAGTGAACTTGTCTGGAGAAACTAAGTGTTTGGTAAACTTTGTTGACATAGTGGTTCAGTTTTGCCTTTGGTTTTTATACCGCGTTAATAACGAGTGCAAAAGTTAATTGAATAGTTTTTATTGAGTTCCCATCACTGTGTTTGAATAAAGGGGATTAATGATTTCAATAAAAAAACTGTTTGATCAACACTGAAGTGGTCAATATTCACAGATTAAAGATTATATGGGCTTAGTAAAGGCGGTGTTGTGCATAATGAACGTCTAATATTACTTTGCTACCACGGCATGGCATCGTAGTTCAATTTTTTCGAACCCTGAAACAACGTCTGGGCTCCTTTGGGTTAAGTCAAAGCATGGCCAACTCACAGATCAAACCCTAAAACAACCTCTGGACTGATCTAAGTCAGGGCATTGCTAACTCACAGATTGAACCCTGAAACAACAACTGGATTGATCTAAGTCAGAGCATGGCTAACTCACAAATCAAACCCTGAAACAACCTCTGTTTTGATCTAAGTCAGGGCACGGCTAACTCACAGCGAATTGAACCCTGAAACAACCTCCTGGGCTGATCTAAGTCAGGGCACGGCTAACTCCCAGAACAAACCCTGAAACAACCTCTGTGTTGATCTAAGTCAGGGCACGGCTAACTCACAGATCAAACCCTGAAACAACCTCTGKKYTGATCTAAGTCAGGGCATGGCTAACTTACAAATTGAACCCTGAAACAACCTCTGGGTTGATCATAGAATAATTGACGAAATGCATCCATTAAACCAATGACACCAAGCGACCTAGCTGCTTGTCCAATTCAGTAAATTCTCGCACACTGCACCATCACCCGTAAGGCACAGTCTGATCTCAACGCGTGATTTTCTCAGTCAACCGAATATTTTTTTACCAGTGATTCGCTGTCATGGCAACTGACGTTTTTTGTGATTGCCGCTGCAAAGACCTTTTTTGCCCAAACGCAGACCTAGGAGGGCTTGTGAAAGTTTTAAAAACTTTTTTGATTCATTAGCTATAATTTGTTTCACTTAAAATTACTTTAAAAGCCAAAACATAATTTATTGCAGAAGCTTGATTTTTTAAAAGTATAATTATTGAGGYATATCTCTATAGAGGTTTTGCACCATCACGTGCCCACACCCATAATACTGCTTGGGCTTCCTGTGGTTTGATGGCAAAACAATAAAATTCCTCCTCTCTTGGGAATTGAATTCTCTTCTCATTGTGAAACGATTGTATTGTTCCTGCCATCTAACATGGCTGCCATCACGTGATGGTGCAAAACCTCTATCGTGGATTGTGATTGGATGGAAATGCAGTTTCGCGCCGTTTCTAATTGGTCATTTCAACTTGGTCGACTACAAATACCCTTCCWTTCTGACATCTTAATAAATCTCACTTAATCAGCTGTTAACGTTTTTCATTTTATATCAATTTGTAAAAGGTCTTTCCTTAAGCCATTCTTGATAATCCCCTTCTTTTATCCTTGGCAGCAAAGCACTTTTTGTCCTCGTGCAGTCACAGTTTCGATGCAACGTCAAAACTCTACTGTTAGAAATTCCCCGCATAGGAAGCGGCTCCGTTAAGCGGGTAGCCCGCGGGCAAAAGCCGTATGGTCTCTTCATTTGATCATATTCTAAGTATGGAAAAACACTGTTTACTTCACTGTTAAATCTTGTTCTAATTTCAAGTCCATTGCAATCAAAACATAATCGATCATCTTYCATTACCTCGCAGAAAATCCTTTTCTTCATACCTTGACAAAGTTGATCCCTAGAACAAGCGGAACTAAAACACGGAGTGGCTCTTTTCTCCTCATAGTTTCTTGATTTACCAACCTTGCGTGGTAAACGATAAAACATTCCTGGCTTAAATTCTGGCGAAGGAAGAGCTTCGTAGACCACATCTGGTGATATTGTTTCTATTTTCAGTCTTCGTAAAAATGTGCCTTGAAAAGRACCGCTTTGCCCTCGCATTTCGTAAGTTGAAAATTTCGAATTCCTTCTAGGAATCGACCGAGGAAATTCATTGTGTTGTTTCCATTCAGATAATAATTTTCGCAAAGAGACGTCTTCTGTTTTTCTTTCCGGCTTTATTCCAAAACTCWCAATCTCTTGTTTGTTGGAAAGAATATCCATGTTTTTGAATGAAGCTTTGGATTCAAATACACAGAATAGTATRGTAACCTAGTATAATCTTGGATGCTACTAAGGCAAACGTTCAGCCAGAAACAGGCTGCCTTATCACGAATTGTCAAGAGAAACGAATAAGTGAACAAGCACACCTGCTCTATGCATGACTAATTTACAATTCAAATGAGAACCTCGGATATGCCTCATATTTA